CTCGCCGTAACAACAACACTCTGTGTCTCCATTTCCAATAAGATTCAAACCCGTGGACCCATTGTACTGCTGACGACCATGCCATTGGTACGAGTTACGAAATGCCAGCACTCGCTGGTGGATTACGCCAAGCTCTGACTACGGTCGCGCCTATTGGAGTATGGCATTACCATTGATGAGATGGACATTGATAATGCCGAAGCTGCCATCACCACCAAAGTAATGGATGCCCCGGAGATCGAGATGATTGACAGGGCCGTCGACGAATTTGTCACCAAAGGCCTGTCTGACTACATGTGGGCTGCCCCAACTAATTCAGTCAGCTCTGAGCCAAGTCAGCAGACAGAGAAATTGATCCCGTCGCCAACTACTCCTAGGTTGTCAGCAACCTCATCAAGAAAGATCGCAGCCTTGCCCACAGGGCTACCAGAAACTGACAAAATCACCATGGCTGTCAAGAATGCCTACTGTATAATCCATATATGTGGAGATAACCAGGCACTATTGTTCAATGATTCTGGTCTAGCCTTTTGGCCAAGTGGTTATGTACCTATCTCATGCATAATGTAGGATGGCAACCTCTTGCGTTGCATTCTTATCTTGATCTTTGTCTTTGCTCCGCTGTCTTCTTGCCGCTTCTGACAACTGGTGATAACTTGTGCCAGTGGTGATCTTTCCTCAATCGTAGGAACAAGCGCTTGTCCTCCTTTGGGACTGTCTGGGGTTTCGGGTTGCCTGTTGGTGCAGGCCTTCGCGGAATTTGCACTTTTGGCGGCGTCGGTTGCTTGGCCGCTTTGCGGGCTACTGTCACCCAGGGCAAACTGGTGTCTTGAGGCTTTGAGGGTAGGGCGTGGCTGTGATCCTCAACAGCTGTGTTGTTCCTAGGCGCGACTGTTTTGGGAGTGCTTGCCATGGTGGGGGCTTCTTACTTGGAAAGTTTTTATTTCTACCTGATCTACTACGAAGGCAACAATAACAGGCATGATATTTTCCAGCAGAGTCGCGACGATTGCTGCTGCTTGCTTCTCTCCTTTGCTCTTAGCCCCGGAGTCAATCAGTTCAAGAAGTTCCTGGGCTATACCCAATCTTTCTTTTCCTTGTTGTTCTGCTTTTTGCACTGCATTTAGAATGCCAAGCAGGCTTGGATGGAGTTGCCTTCGTGGAATGGAGGGCGTTGTCGATGACAATGCAATAGCTGGAACCATTGCACCGGTTGGAGATTCCTGCAGAATGGATTGTGGGTAATGCAATGTGGGATGGGTCAAAAATTGCGATTCTTGATGATGATGATGATGATGATGATTATATTTATCGTGCCAGGCTTACACCCTCCATCCAATGGATATGACACGCATGGAGGACATCTAGAATACAAGTTCCTCCATTCTCCAGCAAAGCCCATCCGGTGCCTGGCTTTTCCAAATACGTGCCTCACGCTAGTTACATTGGGTCGAATAGGCAGGAACGCATTCACCATGATCCTATGACCAAGTATTGAGGGAAAACCTTCGTAGGAAAACCTCAATAATTCCTCCTGTACTCTTTCACGACGAGCAGCCGTAGTCCCCCCTTAACCAGGCCGTGTAAGAATCCAACCTACCAGTTCTACAAAGCACATCCAGCACCCGACCAACTGTGCCAACAGCTTGTTGAAAATCACATATCGTTCTTCCCAAATTCTCCCCTGCATTGCGCTCAACCCCCATTTGAGAGGGCTGAAATTCCGAAATCGAGAGCTCAAAACCGAGGCATCGGTGCCCCAGCTTTTGTCGTACATTGTTCGTTGTCTGAGTGAGGCTTCTTCGTTCGCGCCGTCTTTGGAATGTGTCAAAAAGTTGAGAATGTTGATGTCGCGGTCGAGGTGCTTGTCTAAAATTAGGCCGAGCAATTGCACAGTCCTGCACACAATGCTAGTAAGGTAGAAAGCGAAAGGAATTTTACCTTTGATTTTGGACGGTTGTTGGTGAGTCGTAAAGTCCTCCCTGTCAAACTCAATCGGGAAGTTGTTAGAAGACTGAATAGAAGAGACCCAAACTTCAACTTTCGATCTATTGTGCCGGGAACGGAACCTAGCCCAGGTGTCAATAGAAATCGACTGGGCCACGCTCAGCAAGCTGCCGTTGCGAAGGATGCGATTCTTCTTGGCTATCTCAGACATGCAGAGCATACTGAGCGATTACACCGGCACCACTGGAAGGTGAAGAATTGTTGGTAAAACAGGAAGTAATACAAATTGGGTGCCGTCACGAAGTCGGTGAATAATATCAATTAACTGGTATCTCGATATACATAAAACGTTGTCTCCCCCTTTCCTTCATCTCTCCTTCCTTCTTCTACTCCAAGCGCCTCGCTAATGAGCTAAATCAGATCCCTGTCAGTGTCCTACGACAACCTGAATACCGCAATAAGATAGAACAATTCATGCTGCCCAAATATGATCGTTTTACCGACAAGAATTCGACTTTGCCAGCATTGCGATTCTTGAAACATGGTCTGTCGTTTGTATAGTATTTAACGTCTAGCTAATGATTATAATACACTAGTCCCGGATTGGAAAAGGACGCCAGAGCTTGCTGCTCTAGAACCGGGGGCACCCAGCTTCCTCAAACGAAGGAGGGGCCCAAGATGAAAAATAGTGTCAGATGACTTAATATGTCACGCTGTCTACGGAAATTTATATCCCCTAGAGGGGATGAGACCCAGTCATAGTGGGAAGAATATCTTCCCGATATGCTAAATTAAATTAGAGAAAAGGAAAGAAAAGAAAATTTAGCCCATGAGCATTCTTTTATTCTATTTTTCTTTGAACTGCTGCTAAGCCTTGTTCTTTGATGTCTGAATAGGAATTCCGGGAAATTTTCTAGTGAAAAACTGTAATTTTTCAAGCCATTGTGCAAGTTTTGATGCTACTGTGGGGGTCCCAAGAAAGAAATTCCATTTGCCTGAACAGCCCCTGGGTGGTTTGTTTTGTTTTGTTTTGTTCATTAACGTGCTAGGTTACATGGCTACCGTTGCACTCCTATTGGAGCTTAAGCACGTGTGGGGTTGGGCCGGATCAGGTTAACTACCGTGAAGTACAGATAAACCTCGTCCCACTTTAATGACCGGACCACCTCAGACTTCACCTATGTGTTGAATCATACCAAGCCTAACAGTCCAGAAACCCGCTGTATACACGCCGTAGCGCGATTTCCTCCTCAGCCTCGGCCACCACGCGCCCGAGCCCTTGACATCCTCATTGACTCCGAAATATAAATGCCGTCCAAGATCTCATCGTTGCTCTAGCCTTGCACCTTCATATCGTACCGTTAGGTTGTTTTCGTCATTGGGGATTTGTGTAATCCCCTCGGTGTATCTTCCCTCTTCTTCCTCCTTTCTACATGTCCAGTTTCCATCATGACTTTCCTCATTAGGGCATGTGTAGGTAGGTGATCGGACGGGTATGGAGGTAGGTCGCAGGTGTAGGATCGATTGAGAAATGCTTCGTCGCAAGTATAAAAGGAGTTTAAGAGATGTCGGATGTTTGAATACGACCCCCAGATAGACCTAGGCCCATTCGTGAATCGTATGTTGGTGGTGATGACTTTTTGTTCGACGTTGTTCCGGCTGTGAAATCTCTGCCGACTGATTTTCCGACCAAAATATCGAGTGCAACTCCTTCAAGTCGAAGATCCATCAATTAAAATTCGTCGCACCCTTTTTCGTGACTGTATCTCGGCTCTGGGAGAATATTTCACTCCCAGGTTCGTAGAGGACACTACTGACAGGTGTTCAGCCTTCGTCCTCCCCCCTGGGTGGTTTGAGGGGGCTTGATGTGATAATTCTACAGTTTAGGAAATGTGCAGGGAACTGTCTATTCTCTTCAAGGCTGCGGGGAAATTTCAATGGTAGTATGTCACATGACATTAGCACATGACACAATGAACAACTATTAATGATCCGGCATTCAGCAATTTCACGTCTAGAGCGCCAATGGTTCAGCCATTGTAGAATACCCTAGTTGGTATGCTGGCCAAATTTGTGTGTATTTCGTGCACGGCGATCCATTGCAGGTCGAGTTTATGGAGCCCTTTGCCGAGGTATATACCAGTATCAGGTCGGTACTCCGACCGTACTTTCACAGCGTGCAACAGTTGAAGTGAGATGAATATTCACTTGTAACTTTGATTTCGATCATGATCTTTGGGTATGGAGTTCTTCGGTAAGTGGCGAGATTCATTTAGCTGGTAAGGTCTTCCAGGAAAACTACATATATTCAAGACTGTTAGATTTTTGAACATGAACATCAGAAAAGTTTGAGCCTATCTGCGCTTTACATTTGAGGTGTAAATGTCTGATTGCGTTGGGTTGTGTAGTCGTGGAATCTCCGAAGATCGGATTATCTCCACAAAAACTCTTGAATACACCCTTTAACATGACTGAATCCCGGTTCCAGGAGAATATTTTACTCCCATATTTCCAGGGTACACCATGCACAGGTGATCAGCCTTCACCATACTTCTTTGAGATTTGGTTCTAGAATTGTGTTCCTTCCCAAGGCAGATGTGGACATGTTCACTGTTTGTAAACTTTCGCTCCTGATTTCCTACTTCATTTCACACAATTCGATCCTAGCCTATGTATTTCAAAGAACTTCAAGCTCTCAGATAAATTATTTAGAACGTCGTCATACTTTAGGGGTAATTATTTAAGTCTCAGGAAGAGACTCTTGTTTTATACTGATATCCCTGCGAGTATTGAAAAAGTTAAGTTCTCGTTCAAAAACAAAAAACCAGATTTGATTTCTTAGGCAGAGCTTGTGAACTGTGAGCTTTCATCTAGATGCAGGCCCCTTGTGCAAATTTCAATAGAACTGAGCATTTGCATAGAAGAGAAGTCCCAGTTTTGATCTAGTACAGGCCGTCCTCTGTGATATGTCTTCAAATATTATATCATCCAACCAACATAAAATAATCCATTAACTCCAGGCTTAGGTATTATCTACAAATTTTTCGATCACACTAACTCGTCTTGGATTTCTTTTTCGGTCTTTCTTTCTCTGCTTCAGGTGCCTCAGCATCTGATCCGCTTCCCTCGCTCTCATGGGCAGAATCATATTCCTCTGCAACATCACTTTCACTATCTGTTTGGAAGTCTTCATCAATACTTTCGTCATCATCCTCACTGCCTCTTTCAACACGAGTGGTTACCACTTCATCATCACTAGATGCCATTTCTGGCTCTCTGAGTGCTGCAGCGAGTAAGGCGGAACTGTCATCGTCCATTTCGTTCTTAGTTTTCAGTCCTTTCATCTTGAAAAATTCCTCTAGTGGTTTTTGTTCTTCACGATTAATGTTTGAAAATTGGGATTCAGTTCCTTCTTTCATCTGAATTGTTATATCAAATGTCCGGGATGCTGATATTGCGCCGCCAACACGAGACAAGACAATGCGATTAATATAATCAAACTGGATGAAAGTCGCCGGTTTTGGAACAAAAATAAAAGCCTTTTCTAGACAATATAGAAATCCTTCACTGGCCTTAATTGAGCACTTTATGCCATACTGGCCGTGGTGACTGTTTTTATTAGCATTGAATATCTGACAAGATATTGATGTTGCGATGCTAACCTCGTGAATCCCTGTGCTGGCTGATTGACTTTCTTGCCGGTTAAGCCTCGGAACACTTGCGTAACAACTTGATGTATTGGTTGCTCGTAATGCGATGAAAGCCTACCGTTATACTTATCCTTCATCATTTCTTCTGTCATATTCAGGTCGATTGTTACTTCTTCATCCTTTTTGAATTGCATGACTAAGAATGGATATCTTGTCTGACCTTGTCGAAGTGGGGGATCGAGACCAATACAGATCATATAATGTAGTTCGTCAGGCTTCGGCAATATCATGAATTTCTTCAAATGTTCATATTGAATCTTGTAATCATATGTTTTACCTCGTAATCTGAAAGAATTTTCGTACATGTCAATGTCAAAACGTCCACTATGCCCCGTCAGCTGTTTTCTAATCCTTTTTTTAAGGCTGTTATACCGTGGTGTCAGGTGTAGAACATCCAAAAATGTGGCAAAAGTATCGCCAGCGACTTCACCTATTTCTGCCTTCTCCATTAGAGTATCATAGAATAGATTTGCCGCACTTTGTTCCTCGCCTCCTTCACCGGCGCTGGGAACATCTTCACTGTCTACAGCAACTTTTTTGGTCGTATGGCCAGGGATATAAAATCGCATCTCTACGAGCTGGTCAGTCCCAGCACCTGCTTTCTTACTCTTCATACGAGCATTTTCCGAGGAGCTATTTGGATTCGTTTCGTTGTTGCTGGTCGGGAGCATAAATTCTATGGCAACCTCATTTTTGCCTGCTAGGTTGGTGTTGCAGATTTCAGAATAAGGGATCTCAAATGCAGGTCGATTTTGAACATTAAAGGCTAGCTCTGACTTTCCGAACTCGCCCTTACCCCAATTCCATCCACAGAGAGCATGTTCCTTATGTTGAAGATTTGTGCTGTACCAGTTCTTAAAGATTTTGCTAAGCCGGTCGTAGTCCTAGTTCTATCAGCTTTTCATTCTTGGACGGTGTAACTCTGTTAACCTCTTGGGAAAATCCGTCTAGTTGAACTAGACCGGAATTTCTCAATAGTATTTTCACTTCGAATCCCTTGGCTGCTTTACTCCACTGTGCGGCACCGATATTGCTGTGATCTAGTGTAAAAGCTTCTCCTCCACCGCTCGACTTCCAACCAAAACCCGTCTCAGCAAAACGACACTTCCCAGACTCCTTGGAAAGATCAAGATAGATATTGTCGAAGCTTTCCCTATCAATTATTAGCTTGGAATAGAATTAGTAAAAGTTTGGTACTTTTGTGTTTGACATTTTGCTTTTCGAGGAGTGATAACTCACATTTTTCAAGAAGCGATACAGTTATTGTGCTTTTACTCCTGCCACGAACAACGCGTGAGCTAAAGCGCGAACCCAAATACCTTATTTTGCTTACATAACTGGGTAGTGTGAAAGGCTTGAGGTTATGCCTTATAGCCTAAGGCATTGAATTATTCGCTAATGCATAATTTTCGGCATTATGTGATCGCCTGAGTAAAGGTCAATGTATATGATTTTTAATTTCAAAAAAGAGATAATCTCCACGGGCTACTAAAATGTAATTCATGTCCGCGGTGTCTGCTGTGGATCTCCAGTCTCTCCACAGAGTCCGTGAAGCTGAGATAACTATCTCTCACTCAAAGATAAGCTAGCTATAGCTATGACGACGATCATGAGGACGACATTAGTAGCAGGTAATACGATAAATATAACGGTAACAAACCCCTCAATGGAAATTGGACAGTCCTTCATATTCCTACATGCTATTCACCGGTAGAAAAACGAGAGCTCATGAAAGCAAAGTTAAAGGCCAATCCGACCTCTAAACGTATTACTTCGATTCGTCTTCAACATAATCTCTTCTGGGTCTTACTTCACAATCAACTAGTGTTGGAAAACCGGTATGGGTTCGATGAGTAAGGCGGCTCAAAGAATACGGGCGCGATTTTGTGAATAGAATAATAATGATATGAATCAGGAGAATATGTGATATACTGTGGAGAAATAAAAGATGGGTTAAATGAATTGAATTGAATTAGATTGTCTGTCTTAGTGATTCCTAGACAGCTTATATACATGTAATCTTGATAGACCAAATCCAACCTAGATACCATCCATCACTCGTTCCATACTCTAACAATGACAATTGAAACGCACGACAGTATACAATATGAGTATGGGGTCAGGGTCGGTGGATGAAAGCCTACACGGGTATCAGACCATACCATGCACTAGTCGAGTCTCAAGCATCAAGCATGCTCAGTAAGGGAGATATCAATCATCTAGGTCGTGAGTCATGTGTGAGAATCTTGGTTGTTCCAATCATGGGAAACTTCAGACACATAAAGTCTGAATTTCCAACAACTAGCCGCGAGAGCAAGTGAAGTACAGTCAGACCTCTGTTAAGACGATGTAACCGGGGTAGTGAAAAATATCGTCATATAGAGGATATCGTTTAAAGAAATATGATTACCTAATCCAGCTATCTAGGCTACCTTGTACTTTTAATGCCTCTTTTATACACCCAATTGCTGTCCTTAATCGCTCTAATACTCTCAAGGTCAGGCCAGTCTCCAGCTCGCACTCGTAGCGCGGTAGTACTTGTAGCTTCGTCGAGTTTCGCGAAGGTCTTGTTTAAGGACTCGGAGACTGTTGACTGGCTTAATAGATAATCGTACTCAGCGAAGAACTGTTGGAAATTCAGACTTTATGTGTCTGAAGTTTCCCATGATTGGAACAACCAAGATTCTCACACATGACTCACGACCTAGATGATTGATATCTCCCTTACTGAGCATGCTTGATGCTTGAGACTCGACTAGTGCATGGTATGGTCTGATACCCGTGTAGGCTTTCATCCACCGACCCTGACCCCATACTCATATTGTATACTGTCGTGCGTTTCAATTGTCATTGTTAGAGTATGGAACGAGTGATGGATGGTATCTAGGTTGGATTTGGTCTATCAAGATTACATGTATATAAGCTGTCTAGGAATCACTAAGACAGACAATCTAATTCAATTCAATTCATTTAACCCATCTTTTATTTCTCCACAGTATATCACATATTCTCCTGATTCATATCATTATTATTCTATTCACAAAATCGCGCCCGTATTCTTTGAGCCGCCTTACTCATCGAACCCATACCGGTTTTCCAACAAGAGCCACTAAATACACTGTTTTAGTGTTGGTTTTGGGACCTGGCGGTGCGCCCAACGTTGCAGAGCACGTTGTTGCTCTACGGAAATTCCCTTTTTTTGCGGCATTATTAGCACCAATTCAACAAAAAAACCCTGGTTAAGACGATACTCAGAGGTTGAAGAACGATAATCGTGGAATTGGTAAGTGTATGGGAACGAAGTCTGTTCCGAAACATATATTGTATAAACGGCAATATCGTCTTAACAGGGGTCTGACTGTACGTGAGTAACTCGACAATCTCATGTCCGTGACGACTTTTTGGTTCTAGGCTAGGCACTTTCACAGCAGCCAGTCAAGGCCAGGACTTTTCTGACATACTTTCACGACCTTCGGTTTGTCCCGCGTCATGAATCAAGGGAGATGTAAGGAGGAGGCTAGGAAGGTTGAGAGACGCTCTTAGGTATACACAGGTCTGCTGCGCCCGGCTGGCCGGCCTCTTCGTCATAGGGGAGCCCCGTACCCAGTGGTTGTTGAGTTTTTTTTTTATATCAGATTTTAATTGCGTATGCAGCTATCTAACCATGACACAATATCAGAGAAGTGTATAATAGATGACTCAATTTACAAGAAGAGCACTCATGTGTAGAAATATAGACATACCAGACTGTACTGCACGGAGTACAGAGTAGACGAAGACTACTCATCTTCGATCGCTATCAGCTTTGGTGAGGTCTCGATTGGTAATGATCTCGGTGGTGTGAATGTTATTCAATAATGTAATCAGAACATAGACAGTATTGAACTGCACAGAGATACTTTAAAAATGTTTGAAGTGGATTGAATTCTCTGTCCTCTTCAGATCTCCTCTCACTAGCTTATATACATGCAAACTATTTATCATCTATCATATCATTTCTGCTCGGCCTTTCAGTCTTAATTGAGTTGAACTAATTGATTAAGAAACAGTTTCGGATGCCAATCTCCTGAAAATTACAATCCCAAGAATTTTCATCATGAAGCGCGCGCATAAATAAAATGAACGAATGTGGATCCTGGCTAGATCTACAGGGCACGAATTAGCTAGATGTAGGAAGCACGGCACACACGTAATCTTAATTATCCTATGACCTCACGCACAGCAAATCGCACTGTCAGACCCCGGGACCACAGCAGTAGATCTACTAGCGCTGAGGAGTAAGGAGTAATCAATGTATATAGACACATAGACATCCGACACTTAAAGGATATAGAATTCACGTATTAGCCTCAAGCTGTCAGGCTCGTTGGCTAGTTCGGAGGTCAAGGGTCGGAACAGGACGGAGTCGGGACGGTTGTAGTCGGGACAGGATGTGATCGGAACGGGGTGTGATCGGAACAGGATGTGATCGGAACAGGACGAGGGCGAGACAAGACGGAGACGGAACGGGACGGAGGCGGAACGTGACAGAGGCGGAACGAGACAGAGTCGGGGTATAAGGTAAAGCTTATAATAATCAGATCAATCTAAAGTCTAGAATAATTACAAGACAAAAAACTACAGAACAAATCCAGTCCTAGACCTTGCTTAAGTACTCAAGAGCGGCTACTACAATCAGGGGTATGGTAGTCTACAGCTATAACACAGCAACTGATTGCTTATGTTGATTAGTAACTGTTGCTATCATAACATTGTAACCATCGCAACGCATTGACTATGTTACTAGGGGAGCTCCTGACTTGGTTAACCAGACTAAGCGCAGCATCTCAGCATTAGCCCATGGCACAATGGTAGTGACTAGCAGGCCGTTTTCCTCGTGGGAAAGCCGGTCTGTGACACTCAAGCTCTACACAAGATCCGTTGCAGTAAGGAGCCACGAGATACCACGTGATAACATTTCATTCCTACGCCCACCACACCATTTACTACACAGAGCATCACAACGCAATCCATCACATTGCATTCTACCTACGACCTTTTGCTGACAAATTCATCTCTCAATCACCCATGCCGCCCCAGTCCTCCGCAGAGGCTGGCCCCTGGCCCCCCCTCCCCACTCAATGTTCGACGCGTCAAGACGTCGAAATGGTCCTTAACGGGCCACAACCGCCATCACAACCACCTACCCAACAATTTGTAGAGCCAATCTACGAGGAGAGTCATCGAAGCTTGCCCCACCAACAAACTCCGTCGCCTCAAATTGTCGCAACCGAATTCCTCGCCGAACAGGGCAGGATATTCCAGACGCGCTCTGCACAAGCAGAGCGTCTCATCATCGGGTTCTGCAAGCTGTTGGAACCAGTCACTGACGAGAGACTTCGAAAACTCTTTGATCAGGACTTACTGGTCCTTCAGGGCATGATACTGGAAATTTTATGGGGCAACCCATCTCAAGCAGACGCCAACGCTCCCCCAAAAGCTGCAAGCAGCCATACTAACACATCTAACCCGGCTCAAGTCACAGAGCCTCCAAAACAAAGTCCTGCAAGCGTCACACGTCCAGTGCTGATCCTTGCCAGAGAAAAGAATAGACCGGCACCAAAAGGCCGTAGCCACAACCGCAACTCTCCAGCTCAACCAGGGCTCAAACAAAACCAACAACAACGTTACAGAGAAATCTTGGACCGAGGTGTTGGGAAAAAGAAACAAGCCAGCAAACCAAGTGGCTCCAACTTCAACACCCAAGACAGTGCCAGTGAGGCCCGTTTCCGCGCCGAAGCCTAAAGCTCCAGCAACAAACCCCCAGCGACCTGACAAGCGCGTATTTTTGCGCCTCAAACCTGACCACCCGTGGAGACGTATGTCACCCTACTTCGTAAAGATTAGCTTAGCTAGCAAGCTGCGTCTGGCCAACTCGACAATCAAACAGGTCTCTGTCGTGAACTCAGGGTTCGCAATACAAGCCGAAGGGGAAGGAGCTAGAGGTGCACTTCTCTCAGGAGGAGCCATATAAGATAGCTCAGAAATGAAATTGGAAGCCGCCTCCAACTGGATATCAGTCCTGGCACCGAATATCCCAGACAAGCTTTACACTCTGGAAGGGCCCACCATAGTGACACCAGAGATGGTAATAGAAGAAGCAGCTCTCAAAACAGGAGTTAGACCAACCT